ACCGCCTCTCTAGGAAGCCTGTTCCAGTGTTTGACCCCCTCTCTTGGTGAAGAAATGCTTCCTAAGGTCCAGTCTAAACCTCCCCTGGTGCAGCTTTGAACCATTCCCACACGTGCCCTCACTGGATACCAGGTAGAAGAGATCAGCACCTCCCTTTCCACGTCCTCTCCTCAGGAAGCTGTAGAGAGCAATGAGGTCGCCCCTCAGCCCCCTTTTCTCCAAACTAGACAAGCCCAAAGTCCTCGTCTGCCCCTCACAGGACATGCCTTCCAGGCCTTCCACCAACTTTGTTGCCCTCCTCTAGATGCATTCAAGGATCTTACTGAGGGCTGTCAGTACACGGAAGTCTTCTGTGTACTTCAATGTTCCACCACAAGGGCTCAGATCAGCTCTCTTTGACTACTAGGTTAACACAAGCAGAACCCCTGGCGTTGGGACAGTACTAAGTCTTTACTTCTGCTGCCTGTTTCTTTTCACTTTGGTACACAGTTCTGGCAAGCTAATCTCCCAAAATCATCTGAAAACTTCACAGGCGAGATAAACAGGAGTTTGAGGAAGAGCTCAAAGTTCCTCCAGGCTTGGAGTACTGTCTCATGATTTGAAGGTCATATGACAAAATCAACATGCAGCCTTCATTAGGTATCATTCTCTTGATTACATGGTGGTTACTAGGCCATGATCCTGTTTGTATTGACTGTCCTAACAGGCAAAGCTTTGAGCCTGCCATCTCTGGACCTTAAGGGTCAGATGGAGAGTGAAAGGTAGAATACGTATTTGAATAGAGAGATTTCTCCAGATACACTAGGAACTTCCTATGTCTATTTTTAAAGGCAAAGCAGCCATCACAAAATGGCTTCGGCTTTGCAGACTACCAATTCAAACGCAGTATTTTGAGACTCCTCTATACACTTATCTCCACACCAAGGAGCTGAAGATGTTACAGTCAGTGCGCACAGTGGCATTCAAATGCCATGCAAACCCAGTTTCTTACTCAAAAGACAAGGAAAGCGCGAATCTGATATTGTCCCCATTTCTAGTAACAAACAAAAAAAAAGTATCGAACAAGAGGTGCCTCTCGGCCATCTTCTCCTACACAGGTACACACCGCAATCAACAGCATTAACAGCTACAAAGAGGACTCAAGAATTAGTGCCACGAGTAGCTGGCTAACACCACTGCCTACCAAGAAGCACAGTTCTGTTGTGCCATTTCTTAATGTGGGCCAGCATGGAAAGACGTTGCCTTTTCATTTGCATGCTCAATTAAAAAAGAGGGCAAAACCAATCAAACGACTATGTGCAAATTCAACACTATGATATTTTGTGTGAATAAGTAGCGACAGTAACACTGATCCCATAAGGTACAACGTAACAGAGTTACATGACCTAGACATGAAGCAAGGTACAAGACGAGGAAGGCTTTGCAATAGGATGGCACAGAATGGCCAAGTGGTGCTACCAGATTTTTCTCAACAATTACTTAACCCTGACGCAATATGATCAAGGTTTCTCTCGAGTTTCCCCCCTCTGTATTCTTAAATCTCTTAAAACTTACAGAATAAAAGAAAGAGAATGGTCAACTTTAAGGAAAAGCTCTACATGCATAAGATACCAAAATCCAATTCTCTTATTTCTCAACACTGAAAAGTGTTCAATAAATGTCTGATGCCACAGCAGTTCTGGTATTGATATTTCTAGTCATTTATGATGAAATCCCCTCTTTTTTTTTTTTTTTTTTTTTTTTTTTTTTACAATTAGTTAATGCCAGCTACAAAGAGTGCAGAGAAAATGCCCACATTTCTGCTATAGTATTTGTTACACATTCAGCCAAATTGTATTTCCTTGTGTATTTCCTTACAAGCCTGAGGAAAATCAGGATTTCAAACTGACTTCTCATCAATTAGCATTCTTCAAATTAGAACACAGACATTCTGTTTTACAGGAAGACATCAGAAGCATAAAGAATCTAATGAAGCATCTATAGGAAAAGAAGATATGTTGCTTAATAACACAGCATTTCTAAAAGGGCAACTAGTAATGTCTGCTTTCTAAATAAAGACAGAGATGCTACGGTTAGAGCCGATGCATTCTAAAATACCAATTGCTTTTTGACTTGGAGCAGATTAAGGAACATAATGGTGGAAACACGGATCTGTTCTTTCATCTACCCTCCAGACCTCTGCAACAATACAAGCACAGCTGTTAACCAGATGAAAACATGAAGGCTAGAGACAATGCAAGAATAAAGACACCAACACTATTTCCAATGCACCACAACATTAGATAACATAGGAAATTAGATCTGGAGTACTTTACGCAATTATTTCATGATAGAAAGTTCTAGCACCTAAGGAAAAACTAAATAAATACTTTCAGTTGGAAAGAAAAAGATGTTAAAAAGTAGTATGTCTCGTGTATTTCAATCTTCCATGTAGAAACTAGTTTTGTTGAAACCATATGGAAATGAAAAGGTCATCAATTAGAAACAGAAATTTAATAAACACAAAATATTTCCCAAATAAATGCCTGTGGTAATCTAATTTCTTGTAAACACTGCACTCAACATTCTACAAGAGACCCAGATGGCATATTAACATTTCTGATCTCTTAAATCAAAAAAACTGGAGGAAAAAGAGTCACATTACATACAATATTCATAATTCAGTCTTCTACGTAGGCCAAGACTACGACTAGGCAGCATGTTTGACTTTCAGAATTACTGATTATGAAGTTCAATTAATGAAGTGCTTTAAGCAAAATCCCAACATCAAGGGTTCAAAATGAAACAAAAAATACACTTTAAATATAAGTCAGTTTAGAAGATTTTTATCAACTCTATTAATGCCTAACATATACCAATACTTATATACATAGAGAGAGGCACATTGGTATCCCTGAACACAGCATATATCTTATAAATAACCCAATACAATTAGAATGAATATTCCTTGAGTTTGTTAGCTATGTATAATAATTTCTTCACTTATCTATTACTACTATAGTTATGCCTTCTGAATACCACTTTACCAAAAAGTGGACTGTTAACCAAGTATAATAAAACAAAAAAACCATGAGAAGAACATGGCAATAAAACAAAAAAATACTTATCCCGCAGAGAATGTACATTTAAGAAAAAGGTTTTCTTAAAACTGCCTTCCCTCCCTGCCAGAAAGCGAAGGTTTTATAATAAGATTTCCCTACCTGTTCTACAGTAATCAGTCCATCTGAAGGTTCAGATGCAGCCTGTGAAGGCAGAAGTTTACACAGTGTCCCTAAGAGCAGAGATACTTCCTTCATGCTTCTCCAGCAACATACAAGAACCATTTGGGCTGTGACATCACATGTTTGTCTTTCTTTACCTTAAAAATAAAAATCAACAAATGTAATAGTGTAACTCAAGGTTCTCAGACACGGACTTGTAATTTAAATTTCATTTAGCCTGATCTTGATTTATGCCAGATCACAAAACACAATTAACTATGAAAAAAAAAAAATCTAAAACTTGTGAACCCAAAAGATAATTCAGTTCTGCTGACCCTAACTGCTCCACTCCTGAACATTCACTGTACTTTATTCCGCTTGGAAAAGGCAGCAGTATACCACTTTACCAGGAAACTGATATTGTAAAAAGCAGAGGTCTTTTGGCCACAATCCGTATTCGCCTGCACACTGAACTATACAAACACCTACAACTTTGGAGCCCAGGCTGCAACAAACTCCACGTCAATCATCAGTCTGTCATTCACTGTATGTTACTCAGGTTTTAACCCAGGTGCCATAGGAAGAGGCCTGGCAAAGCCATAAAGTTTTTAATGCAACAGCCCCATCTGGTGGTCACCGTCCCACTTCAACATATTTACAGACTTCTGTCATGAAACAAAACACATGGCCCAACCAAAACTATTTTAAACACAGGAAAAAAAAAAAACACCAACATGCAAGGAAAGAAAGTTCAAATATTTAAGACTTAAAAAGCTTGCATAACTATTAAACCTAAAAATGTACAGATATTCTATAAATTTATGCTGGCATACACTAAATATGCCAAAGTTCACAATTCCTTTATCATGGTAAGGCTCAATATCATAGCTGCTATTCATGAAAGTAGACAAATACTATCTAACATTTTACCACGGCAATCTTTCAAACAGAAGCTTCTGCTTATGTAATTTCATGCAACAAGTTTTATTGCACAAACATATTGCCCACTAGTCTTGTGTACACTGGAGAGGGAAATCACAGTAACACCTTCCAACAAGAAACACATTAAAAGCATTGCTTGACAGAAAAGGTGTTAAAGATCACCTGGCCAGTGCAGTTCAGGCAATAGAGTCTAGGCCCATATCAAAACAACTAGTTTTCACTTGTGCCGTAAGAGAGATTAACCACAATCTCCCAGAAACACAGTGAATTAGTCTTTAAAACCATGCCCATGAATAACTAGCTTCTGACAGATTTATTGAAGAAGTGAAACATTATACGGAGCAAGTAACGTCCAATTTCCATCACCCATGTAAAATGCCTGCTCTATAAAAAATATCTTGATTTAATTACTAATACAGCATTGGATTTACCTCTCATTTCTGTGCAAATATTTTCCATTGGCCTGTGGTCAGCCAGCTTTTCAGACTCTACTTCGCAGTGTTCTTTCAAAATTTTTGCTTGTGTAAAATAATCATTCGTGTCCTGTGGTTGTATCTCATGCAGAATCATCTGCAGACGACCTGCACTTTCTACACATTAAACAAGAGTAATATTAAAGATAGTTTTGTTTTTTACTTCCAGTTCTTTATACAAATGTAATTCATTTTGGGTATGTAAGTACAGAAGAAAGCTATAGCACTAAAAAACAAATATAAAACTATGATGATTACAAGGATTAAGGAAGAAAGACAACTGGACTTCACAGTCATCAGTTTTGAAACAGATGCAACACCACAATCTGCAAACACCTTTTTTTTTTTTTTAGTGCAGAAGTTGAGACAACCTCTATCAGAAGTTAAAAGAGTGGCTTAAGATTATGACATAAAATGAGAAATTGAAAGGGAGGGGTGCTAGCTCTAGTTCTGAATCGCTGTAAGACAAACAGAACTTCAGGAGCACCAGATTTTAACAGAATTCTTTTTGGGTTTTGTTTATTTGCTTGTTTACCTGAATCACTATCCATTGGAATAAGACCCTCTGGTGATGAGCTCTGCACTACTGGTGATACCACAGCAGAGAGTTTGTATGACATCAGAATGAGCCTGGCCACCATTTCCTTCCATTCAGCTACCAATGTCAAGTTACTTAAAAAAAAAAAAAAGTCACAAAAAAATCAACACAACATGGATTAAAAATAATTCTATATTTAAAAGAAAGAACTGAAATTACAAACACCTCTGCAACAGTATTTATGAAAACTATAAATAGGGTACAATTTGAAAAGTCCCAAGACTGAGTTTAACACATACAAAGGAAGTATCCAACAGCTAGCTCAACAGTGCAGTAGCCAGTAAGAGTTCTAAAACCCACAGGTACTGGATTCCGTTACAGATAACACTGTATGCTTTTATGTTTTCCTGAGCAGCTCTTCCACTGTGCTTTAATACGGAGTTACGACTTACTATATAGCAGTATTTTTTACTTACTTAAAAGGTAATTGCTGCAAAGCCCCAGTTATACAGTGCACTCTCCCGTACATTGGGAATGATGCTGCTGCCTGAAGCAGAGACTTCTTAGCTTGAAATATTTCTTCTTCAACATTCACCAACAAAAGCTTGAAAACTAAAATTTTAAAAAGTACAGATTTGCAGTATACATACATATATTGTACTTTCTAAGAAACAAATCTGCTTGGAAGAAATAGGAATAAAGCCTGTTTACACAACAATTCATTAGAAAATACACAGCAATTTCCTTGTTTATGCTTTTCACTCTTTTGTAATTTAAAGAGTTATTGTTGATTTTCAGTTACCTAAACTCCAGCAGTATTTGTTATAATCAATTTAGTTTGTCTATCGAAATCAAACAGCAGCTGTGAAAAGCACAGCCCAGATCCTATACTCAAGGACAATCCCAGAGCTGATGAAGTCAAAAGAAGTTACCTACGACCTACTGAAAGTCAGACTTCACCCTTACAGCCAGGTTAATACAACAAACAGTTCAGCAGAATATTAAAGATTAGAAGTTTACGATTAAATATTTGAATCTTACATTAACCACTAAAGAACCTGCCCAATTTTCAAGGATACATGTGCCTGTTTTATTTATATTTATACCATGCAGCATCTCAGTGTCAGAACCAGAATGAATTACAGACCCAAATAACAAATTACAGATAACTAACAACTGTAGGTTTCTATAACAATGACACACGAGGTTACCCATGCATTTGCTTTATTTATGGCAAGCACAACCACATCTCAAAAAACCGTGATTTCACTGCATATGAAGAAAGTATTAATAAGCATCGGTAGAGAAGCCAATAATGGCACAAAAAAGTATACAACAGAGCGTTTACTACAAATTACATCCAATGCTTTATTACAAATAACGAATTTAAAGATTTTAGTTTTATTGCAAATTACGAAAGGTGGAGGAAGTCGGTTTAAAAAATTTGCCAATCTGCCAGATCTAGAGCCTCTCAGCTTTCATCCAGAGGCACTAAACTAAATAAAAATATTCTGCATGTAAACAAAGCTAATTACTGCAGAAATGTATGTGCAGGACTGCAAACCACTCAGAAAAATGGTTCCAAGGGGCAGCGCTGCAAATATCAAGTACTGGAACATGACACAGACCAACTACAGCTGCCTTCGCTCTGGGTAAGCGAGCTCTCAGAGGAGGCAGAGGTTCCTTTCCTGCACTTTAAGGGCACAGCTTCATCAGGCTAGCTACCAGGGCCTCAATGTCACTTTCCCTCGGATTAAAATAATAACAAAAGCCATCTTCGAAGAACATTCAATAGCCTTAACACAAACAGGACTAAATTAAGATCTTACTAAGGCACCTGGCTTCTTAACAGCAAAACAAAATATACTTAAAATCCTATTAGAAATAAGCATCTCTTACTCGTTATGCCTCCTACCAAAAGCCTTAAGGAAAAGCAGTAAGGTTCCACATCAATATAAAAAACACGGGGGTTCATTTCCGCAAAAGCTTACCTGCTAAAGTGTTCTTCTCCACTGTACTTACTGATGTGTTTTCATCCATCTGGGGGTTATGCTCAACCCATTTCCCTAAACAAATATGCTGTAGTCCTTTATGATGTACTAAAAAGTTCAACAAATACGAAGCAGTGACACAATCATATGGCTTGGTACTTGTGCTAAGATCCATTGCTGCTTGGAATAGACCTAGAGTTTCAGAATCCTGGAAAAAAAAAAAAAACAATGTTGCTCATTTTATTGAGCTTCCATATTGATTTAATTAAGCTACTTCGCACCCTGCAATCTAAGAACCTGCTTTTCAATAAGTTTGCTGGTATTTCTTAAGAAACACTTATTTTGTACACTGATCACCGTACACTCAAAACATGCATGTGTATGTATTTAGCAAAGATACAATTACATACACACTGAGGATGGGGACAGTCATTTACAAAGCAGTATTCAAACACACTGCACTTCACAGGAGGATGGTTTTGTTTTGCTTTTCCAAAACACTGTTTTATCTGCTAACGGACATCACAGAGAAGCATAGTCTATCAGGAAACAGTATTTGTTCACCAATACTTATGAATTTAAAAGTAACTTTTTATGAAGTAATAAAGAGAAAAATCGGTATCGAGCCAAAAGGGCAAACTTTGGGAGAAATCAAAAAAGACAATCAGATAGCGAAATCTGAGACCAATCACAAAGGAAAAGAAACGCAGAGCTGAATTTCTTAAAATAGAAGAGTAACCAAGTCAAAATGCTTCCAACCCTTACACAGGGAAGTCACAGCTAAGCAAGGAGCTTGCATTAACTATTTGTCTGATCGCTGACAGTCATACCCAATGCACCTCCCAAACTCCTTCACCCATTAGTGAAACAAGCCTCCTTAGGTAAGGGCAAAAGCTGCCTAAAAACATATAGAAGATGAACACTACTGTAGGCAACTTGGACTGACATCTAATTTTCAGGAATTATGCTTTCTACCTAACCCAAGTACCTGGTATAATATAGAACATTCATCTTTCACGAAATTACTCCCTTTAAATTATTTTTGATGGCATACCTGTAAATTAAATGCAACATCACGTAGTTTCATCAAAAGCCCAAATGCCAGAACTTTTACTTCCTCAAAAGTACTGGCAAAACACTGGATCAAAGTTCGGATACGAGTAGAATCAATCTCCTGATCCAACTGAAAAACTTGTGCCTGGCCTGTTCAAAGAAATCAATGCCTTACATAGTTCTGCTGTAATTCTTTCCAGAATAAGCACTGTATTCACATTTTGCTTAGCTATACTAAAAGAAGCATTAAAATAAAATTTTAGCTAAAGCATTATTTTAATATTACTTACTTCTCTTAATAGGTCTTAAAATGCCATGTTTACTGTTGAAAAGAAAAGATTACCATATCCAAAATATGACTCTCAGTAATACAGAAAGTAACTTATTGCCAAAAGCAGAATCCCATTTATTCACATTTCATTCAGCATTGAAAATAACCTTTACTTTAGCTTTGCTTAAAAATTCTTTTCCTGGAAGTATGTAATATTAGAAAAATAATTCCTCTCAAAAAAAGGTTTAAAATTTCAGTGTGTTTTGGGGTTTGATTTTTGGGGTTCTTTGTCATAGGAACAATCCCCTAAAATGGAAGCTATTACAATTTTTTGCTTTTAATTTCTATTTAAAAGGAGTCATAACTTCTGGTGACTGACCTAATCCTGTAAAGGAGCCAGGAATTTTAAGATGTAAACAAGTGCACCACATTCCAGCACAGCACATAACAGCAGATAGAACTCCTTTACAGAAGTAATGTCAGGCTTCTGAAATCCTAAAGCTGCTATTGTAAACAACTCTCAATACAATTTTCTATTAAAAAAAAAAAAGGCAGCAACAACATACCACAAACTCATAATAATAAAATTGATGTGTTCATGATTTATCAGGGGTTTTGATAAAAGATATACCAAGAATGCACTTTTTTCTTCCCTCTCAAAATCAACTTTTATCTTACTGAAAACCTACTTTTATGTTGGCCATATGATCCAGAGACAAGATTTGGCAAGACCATCAATACTCCAAGGCTCTAACTAATACTTCTTAATTGAGGTTGTCATAACATTGTGAAGAAAATTTAAAATAACAGCAGCACAACATCATAAACTGTCCAATTAAATTGTTCCTTATTTAGTATAGTAGCATCATAAGGATATGCAAGCCTTTTCAATCTAGCTTTTATGGTCTCAATGTTTTAAATTACATATTATCAAGATGTTAAAAGAGGAAAAGGAGGTAAAATTATCAAATATATTGAATCTTGTCCAAAAGTTTTCTTCATGATAAAAAAAAATTTAAAAACCTTGCAAATAAACAGGCTATGCAAGAAAACCTCAATTTATGGAAGATATTAATTTACTTCAACATTCCATTTTCCAATAAAACTTACTGTCCTTCTTTCAGGTAAAATGAAAATGACACAGGAAATGCCATAGAAATTAAGGACTAAGAACACTGTTTTACTTCGACAGAAACTGACTACCTGGCATAAGAGAATCTTCTTCAATATCCCCCATTCCTACAGCCTATAAATTAGGCTTCTCACCTTTTGGAACAGAAAATATTTCTGCTACTGATCCTAAAATAGTTAGTGCAGAAAATCTGGTTGGGTGTGATGAACCGGGAAACAGTACCTCAAAAAGTCTGTCACATACAGATGACATGAAATCCTGAAAATCACAAGAAAACTTTTAAGACAGTTTACTTGCTGCCCTACAAACAAAAGTCTAAGTAACTGAATTCAGGACATTCTGCTTTACATGTTACCCAAAAAAATTATGACCTTACAGGTAATTTTTGGAAGAATGGGAGGCCTACCTTCATAGCACTGATGAATTGCTTGTTTCCTAGAGTACAGTGAATGCTGGAGAATCGCTTGTTTTTTTTAACAAAAAAGTTACCCTTTCCCACTCCCACAAAAAATGGCCGTTGTATCAAAACCTTGAAAATGAGTTGAACAAGCAAAGCAGAACTCAAGAAACAGTTTAACACAAAGAAACTGATTATGTGAGCCTTCAAATAGGAAAAAAGGACAAATACAAAAGAAGTCTTCGTACAGAAGTCTTTGCACTGAAGCTCTTTCATTCATTCCCTCACCGATCACTCTGGAGAGCCAGAAAAAGGCTGAAGCTCAATGGATCCCTATTTCAAGCCCAAGTAACGCACATCATTTAAAACTTGCTACTGAACTGCCAGCAGCTGAGAGGATATTTACCTGAAAATTTTAGTTTGAATTGGGGGTCCATCTCCAGTCAATCCCCACTTACTGCTGTTCCAGTTCACATCGTGGAGCAATCCCTCAGAAAATAATCTTCCTTGCTTTTGGACAAAATTAACCTTAAAGATACCCTCCAAATCCTAATGGGCACTCAGTTCATGAGACAACAGTACATTTAGTCAAAATTAACTTGCGTAAGTGGACAAGATCCTCAGCACTGTTTTGCTTTACAAGTTTCTTCCTTCTGCACTGCACTATTTCCTAGCACAGACACGGCCTAACTTACCCAGAGGTGTTCTCAAGAACACTGAACTATCTTTCAGAAATGCTATCCCATCTCTTATATCTGTATCTCTAGCAGTCTAACTTACCTTATATTGCTGCAAAATCCCCAAAGGATGCCTTTTAGTTGAGTTTTCAAGTAACTCTTGCTTGGTTTTATTTTGCTCCAACTTATAAAGCACCTGGGAACTTTCTTGTATCCTGCAAAATAACTTTTAAAACAAAAGCAAGACATAGGTAAGGCAAGAATCATTGACAATTAAATAAGGGAAAGGGGGATTTTCAGCTTATTTTCCAGATCATATTGCTTGTAATTTTTAAAAAGTTTGCATACAGTATGACACAAAACAGAACCTCTCTCCACTCCAAAACTAAGTTTTTTTTCCCTCCCTATCTCTTTTGTGACCAACCTTTTACCCCTCCTTCTGCACCTCCAACACCTTCTTCCATCTTCCTCCTTGAATTCATGCCTAGTCTTCTCCTCCCACCTCCCCATTTTCTGTGGGACATATGTTCCTCTATAAAAAAAGCTCAATTAATGCATATAATTTTTATAGCTTCAGTGTCTCTTACGGAGTTTGACTCACCTCAGAAGTGCTTCCCCCAGCTCTTTTATTACCCACTAGTATTATTTCCTTTCTTATTACACTCCCTCTAACACAATTTTTCCATCTCATATTCCTCAGTCTGCACCAGGCAAGACTGGAAAGAGCTGGACTTCTCTTTTGTTTCTACCAAACCTATTCCCTCATTTTTCCCCTGTCTCAAATTAATTATTTTCTCCTTCCACACTGCCTTCTTTTGCCATTACTATCTTCCAAAGCATTCTTTATACATACATGGTTTCCTCTTTTATCCATATCCTTCTCCCATGATCTACATGTGACCTTGGCAACTTCCACAATGTTGTCACACTCAGTCCCTGCAGACTGTAACAGCACAGCCACATGTCATGCTGTTCCCGTAATATTCCTCTACCTTGTCTTCCAAGTCAGGTTGCTGAGGCTCATCAAGTGACTGAACTTGCCTGAGGTCTGGTAAGTCTACATAAGCACACTCTTAGTCCACAACAAAGGCAACACGAGGTTCATTGCTTACTCTACGGCACATTGCGTTGCTATTGGTAAAGTATGCATACACTAACAGATTAAGTAACGCTCACTACCATTCATGATCAAGTTACTGTACCCATCACTTAATTTATCCTTGCCTGTGACGACTTATCAACATTCAGTTGGGTACTGCATACAGCACAGTCTTGGTCTTAGAGCATCTACTCTTTCAGATGAGCAACTTCATAACATATATAGCATTTAAAAAAATTCTGAGTAACTAATGTAATAGGCACTTTAGACATTGTTTATAGTTTGAAATTACCTTTCTCAGTAAAGAAGCTATCTGTTGCCTTACTGAAGGAGACTGGCTGTTCAAGTTGTACATCATAAAAAACTGAATGAGTTGCATTTCTTCCATAGACACAATTTCCGTGCTACGATGGGTTTCACAAAGTAAACCTAACGCATCAATGCAAACCTGAAAGATATTTAGATGTTAACCACAAAAGAGTTACAGGCACCTATGATGATGACTTTGTTTTAAAACAATGCTAACACAGTATTTAGAATTGAAGCAATTCTTCTAATTTAGAGACACAAAAAAACGACTGCCCCCCTACCTGATTGTGCTGATGAACTAGACCCTGTTTTATACATTCAGTGGATACAAGACCATTGCTCATGATATTTGAAAATTCCAGGTGTCCATGAGCCCTGGCTGTTCTTAGGCATGCCATTAATGCTCCGAGAGCTCCTCTAGTACAGCGAGAGCCTAAAGAAAATGAAAACCAGTAGTAATTAGTTTGATTACACAATGTACTAATTGCAATGCCTGTCAGAAACTTCCAATACTTCCAACACGACCCCTACCCCTCTTGTTTTTTTACCCCATAAACCCCAAAAGACGGCATCTGTCATAGATTAAACTAGTTCTAAATCGCCTTGTTCCCAAAAAGCTTTGTCTTGAACATGTCATACAAAAAAAGGACCTTGTGAGGTCTCACAAACTCCTTTTAGAATTACACTAAATTACGTCAACAACTACAGGAGAATCGTAACTCTCATCTCCACATATTTGCAACAGAAAACAATCTGTAAAGCCCTGTAACTCGACACACCTGTGTAAGAATTAACAGCAGAACAGAAAAATAGTAGGAAAAAATACACCTATATGTAAGAAAGCTTGGCATGTAAAGAGAACAGTAAGGCACCCGCAGTTAGAATACCAATTATTTTGCTCATAGCATGTAGAGACATTTATGATTATTATGAATTCCACTTTGAAATACTAACAGCAATAACAACTACCTGGAATTTTTCTCCCAAATTACTTCTAATAATAATAGATCAGAAATCATATTTCTGAGATGATTTTTTTTTTAAAAATAAGCATAATTACAAATACGATATTTATTTTCTTACCTAGATTAGCATCTGCAGAAGCCTGAAGAATTCTAATCATGTAGCTCAGACTGTCAGGGCTACATTTGAGCAATTTTGGTAAATAGTAATCTATTATATAAGTAGTTTGGTCATGGTTCCCTTCACACAGTATTACTAGAAGAGGAGAAACCCAGATGTCATGCCACTGGTCAATCCAGGTGCTTTCTTGAAAACTCAAAGTAAAATGGGCTTTGTGATTTGTAAACATGGTTTCCAAAAGATCACTAGCATAGGGGGCAAGAGACTGATCATTCATCACGTCCAAGATTTGTACTGGAATTGTTCTGTCCAACTGTAGTATGTTTTCAGTGCCCACACACTCCACAAGACAGCCAAGAGAAGCGTATTTCCCTTTTACATGCCATTCCAAGCTTAGTAAACGCTTCATCAGCCTTGCAAAGAATGGGTCTGATTTTTCATTGGATCCAGTAATGGTGGTTCGGTGTATCCGAAGAACATTCTTGAATATCAATTTGGTTTGGTGTCTAACAGCATCCAGAGGGTGTTCCCAGTGTGTATAAATGTATTCCAGCAGCTTCCCAATTACGTCCGAGTTCCCATTAAGTTTGATTTTTAGATTTGGGGAGCCTGAAACAAGGGCAGCCAGTGCGGAATTAGTCCAAATAGCAAGGATTCTAGACAAAGACGTTGCCGTACTGGATTCTTTCAACCTTTTAGAAAGAACAAACAAAAAAAGTTCATTATTTGCATTTCTCATTTTTTTCAAAAAATAATTTTATTTCAAAAAATTATTCATCACATTAGTTTACCTCACACTAAAACAGGTAAGGAGACATTAACCATTCGCTGAAGAAAAGGAACTAACACAAAAAGGAGGTGATGAATTGGACGTTGCAAAGAGTATGCTTTCTTACCTGATATGCTGTTAACTGGTCACAGCTAAAACCCCTAAATATGGGGAAAAGAAACCTGGCAAGCCACTACACTTGCTATTTTAAAACTAAAAATTAATACCCACATACTAATATTTGAGCATTAGGTTATTGCATACTTCTTGAAAATATACGGAAAACTTTTCCTTGCCATATAAAACCATAAAAACTGAGTACCATATGTGCAAAAACAAAATCACAAAACCGACCTCCAAGGCATGAACAAAGGTTGAACTGAATACACGTTTTAATCTCCTATCCAATAGTGCTGGTAGTCCATTAGATGCAAGCAGTCAATGCTTGCAACCAGAAAAAAAAAAAAAACAACTCATCTTGCTTCAAGTATTCCACTCATTGGCACACTTTGTTTTCTTCTGTACTTTTAAAAGCATAAGAGGTGATGTCCTGGAACTAAAGTTTATCTGTATACATAACAACTGATTCTGCCACACCTTACCATCAGGTAGCTGGTAAACTAATCCCACATGTTGGAGAAACAAAATTTCATTTCAGCATGCAAGAGAAAATTGTAACTTAGAATTACCTATGCAATATCAAGATAACACGTCTTTCAAACTCCTAGTTTTCTGAATATAGTAAAAAGATGAGACAATCTGTGGCACAAACTAATATCATTACACTGAAAACATCAGAGAGATATGGCACCAGGACCATACAAGCTGTGCAAAAATACAAGTAAAAAGATCATCCCCTTCCTCCCACACATGAAACAATACAAATCAGAACACAGGCTTACTCTGAACTCAAAGACAGTAAGACTGATGCGATATCTAGTAACAGTTTCTCTCCATTTTCACCCATGCTGCCATTTTTCCATTCCAGCATAGCCAGTGCTCCATGGCAAAGAAAGAGAAGGACCGAGTCAGGAAGCTCTTCCGTACACAGAGTCCCACAGTTACTCACAAACCATGCTGGCACGCCTGCATGTTTCATTGACCCAAGCAGCAAGCCACTGACCTGTAATAGCAAAATAACACCCATTACAGTATCTAAGCACAGGGGAAAAGCTATTTTGCACATAACAGAAGATCTGAAGAGATTTCTGGTTTTCATTGTTTATTTTTTACATTGTTTTTTCTCAAATTCAAAACCTTAGTCTTATTATTTCATACAGCAAGGAGAGAACAGAGGCTTTACACGCCAGCAAAAGACTGATACAGAGGTTGGCAAGTCCTGCTATCTGTATCTGCAAAGCCTCTGAAAAACACTGGTAGCACTGATTAACGACACTATGACATTTCACAGTCTTTAGCGAAGAAATACACTTACCAAAGAAGGTAATTCTTCAACCGGCTCATACATAGCTTTAGTAAACAGAATAACAGCCAGTCCTGAGGTAGCCTGAACAGTTTGCAGAAGAGTTGCTACATGGCAGAGAAAGATATTTTGCATTAGAGTGCAACAACCATTGTGTGCTAGAACTATGTATCAAAATTATAAAGATGGTATTGAATTTTCTTAGACTACTTATAGTTGTATAATGACAAATCTGTAGTGTCCACTTGGATCGCAAGTATTAACAAATTTATACTCTAGTGTAATAGGAAACTACTAATACCTTTTAACAGATAGAAAATATAGAACTGCCCAGTAAGACAAGGAGGACTGTGGCAGAGCCTACTGACATTTATATTAAATTCTACTGTACAAAAATATCTGTCTAAGAAGTGAACATAATTAGTTATAGTGCACCAATAAATAGTTCTGACAGCATAATTCATACAGATACATAAATTTTTGGTAGGCAGATATTTGGTGAGTCTCAAAAGTATTTCTGTTAGTTTCTAAATTATTAGTAATAGCATTTACCTTGGTTTTTTGTAGTAGGACAAGTTAAACTGTACACTCCAAAATTACAATCTACAAATCATAGCTTGCTGAAAGACCTACTACTGCTCCCAGTCCCATTAATCTCAGCAGTTCAATTTCCATTCAAGGTAAACTAAGTTTTTATACATACAGGTTGTGTTTACTACAAAAACAACACGACTGACTTAATAAAAATATTTGGTTTCGAATGTTATTAAACTTACCATCCATTAGGAAGTTTGTGGAGCTTTTCAGTAAACTACACATACTTTGCCAAACGAAAGATTCATGGTGTTTCCAAAGACTTCCCTGGGTATTTTCTTGTAATTTCTGTACAAGCATCATTGAAACTTTAATGGCTATCAGTAAATCGTGCATCAACTGAGTCTGAACAATACGATTTCCATGATTCTTTCTGGGAGGGGGGAAGACAAACATACACACAAAAAGGAAATGAAAACCATTCTTCACCATCCCCAGAAAACGACACTCTGCCAACTTCAGACAGAATTAATGGTAAAAACTAATTTATTTTTTGAGTTGATTGGATACGTAACTATAGGAAAAACAAGAAGCAGACTCAAGGGCACAGTTTTAAAATGAAGTTAAACATAATGACAAATTCTGCCACAGTTTCTGCAGGTTCCTGTGACAAATTTTCAGTCATTTGATTCTGCCTGAGTAGAGCTGAGCTTTTCCAGAAACTTTTCAAAAAGACGAACAGAACACAGTGTTGCTCCTTTCTCATTTTTCAAGCAGTTTCTCCATGCGCGAGCGTATCTCTATGATTCAACTTTCTTCTAATGTGAAGACAGACAACACGTAAACTTTTAATGTGGAAAACACTCCATTAAGCACCCTTCTCCTCTGGGTACGTGATGAGAGACCACAGTGAAGAGGCTTTACTTTATGCAATGCTAGAAAATGTCAAGACATGACTGCTGTGACAGACTAAATATATATATCAATACTGAATTAAACACTCATGGGAAGTGGGAGAGTATTACTCTACCTGAATTTTAATAAGTGTATCTATTAATTACAGTGTTCAGTCACAATTCAGATAGTGAAACCACAACTCAAAGGCCTCCCTTAAAAGTAGTAGTTCTAACAGTATCAGCGCCTTAAATATTACCGCCTTTAATTTTCCTCCTTTCCTCTCTTACTTTGTATCATCATATTGCCACAAAAGAAAAGAAACTCATCAGCAGTTTTTATTTAAAATATGTGTCATTGTAAAATGACATTCCCATCTTTCATCAGTGTATGGCTATCAAAGTGATATTCCAAAGCATACCAGATTATCTTGCAAGAGTGAAACAAAACAGATAAAATACAGCTTATATTGAATTCACTTGCCTGTTTTCTTCCTGTATGCCAAGCAATGACTTCTGCAGAAACTGAAGAACTAGTGAAAATAATTGTTATGAATTTATTTAAAAGAGAAATAGAACAGAAAAATTCCAGCAATCACACATACACATCATACACAGACATAGTGAACAGTTATCCATGCAGAGGTGTTTCTCCCACTCCATAAACAAATTCAACTGAAATTACAGTGCAGATCCAAAGATGCAATGCTAAAGCAAAATCTCAAGCTGTTTTGCGACTACCTGGTACAAAACAAGAGTTTCCAACCCACTTGGCCTAATCCTGTGAGGTATTGAGAGTTCTGGTTCCTCAATGAAAAGCTGAAATTACCAAGAGCTAAAGCCAGAGCAGCAATAAAAGGTCCACAGGAAGCTGTGAACATGATCTGCATGCTGAGGGCACAACATGTCAGGTTACCCCGTATTACCAGCAGATCAGACCTCTGTCAAATTATTGCCAAACAAAATTCTTGCCACAGCAGGCCTAGGCTTACTATGGTCAAGACTGGCTGTCAACAGCCCAGTGTGACCACACCCAGCTTCATCAGGGACAGAGAATAATTCCCGTAAAGTAGCATCGACTTCCCTAGCCCTTGAAGAATAACTCACTAGTACCTTTTCAGATTTATATCTAGGGCTGCTCAACAAAGCAAGACTGACCCCTGGAAATTAAAGGTACAAATCAAGGGAAAGTCTCTGACAAAAAAGTACCATGTGAGGGTACTAGTTATTAAAAATTAACCAGGAGGAAATTAGATCTGATAAAACTTTATGCCTACCTCATGTTACTTCTTCACACACAACCCTCCCCCCAATAATCTACAATGAAACTTATTTTACCATATACTTTACCTTCTTCAAACAGGTTCTTAATACTCGCTCTACCTAGAGGAAAGAAAATACATTGCAACTAGTGAATACTAGCCAATACAATCTATTTTTCATAGATAAAGATATAAACACTACTATTAAGTGCCACACCAAGATGCAAAACAATGTTGAGCAAGTCAAACCCAAAGACAATGTATTCAATGACATCATACCTAAGCTGAAGTCCTCCATACAGGAAGCAAGGTTGTCCAGTACTTTTCTGTACAAATATATGTCTGTGGTTTTCAGTTCTTCCCTAAGGCAGCATACAAAGCTTTGTACAGCTAATGTCATAAACTCTTCAGGAAGACTGTTTAGTGAACTGCAACAGCAAGAAACAGCACAATCAGTTAGCTCACACTGAAGTGTTAAATATCCACTTGACTAAAGTCAATGTCAGCTAAAACTCCAATAATAGATAAATGTTGCTTGCTACATGAAAGCATATTCTGTTTTAAAATAAACACGCACTTTCTAATTTTGCAGCTAGAAAACCTGTCAAAGGGGTGTAAAGATCTGGCATGCAACCAAACACAGCATGGAAGCCCTGCTTCTCTCAATGGAACAACAAATGTTTTCAGACATAAAAATGAAGACAGCTAAGCATTGCATCCTTAAAATGTGAAGGCTGTAATAAATTCACTGAAGAAATACACAGTAATTTTGCAACAGAAAAATTTAATTGCAATAAAAATAGGCACAAGAAAACACAGTTTGGTTACGATTCCCCTCAGCAGCCTTCTCTTTACATTGTCAGAGTTGAGATTTTTTTTTTTAGCAGAAGTATTTTAAATTTCTACTTTAACATTGGATTTTAAAATTCAAAGTGCTAATTACATACTATGTTGTCTTTCCAGTAATGAAACAGGTCAATATAATACTTCACTTTAAGATTATTTATCCAGTGATATATTGTATTATTTATAATTAAGATTTTTAACTAAGCAAGAAAGAAAAACCGTACATATTCACGTATCAGTATCACAAGTTTTCAGTAATTAAACTACAACAATTTGTTGTGAACGACAAATTACTGACTTCTAGATAAGGAGAGCACTTAAAAAAATAAAAGTTTATTATTCAATTTTTTACCTTGCTAATACTTTTTTCAAGGGATTCTTCGCACCCAGTGAAAAATATGTCTCTCCCAAAATATCCAAACAAGCTTTAACCATGGGATCACATGCAGAGTTTTGATCCATCTTCTTTACCAATGGCATAATCTATAATCAACAGAACACATGATCAACAAAAACTCCGGATATATACCCTCATCATTAACAGAGGCAGAATTCCCTCTCATCCAAGTATATGGCACAAAACTGTCCTCTCTTTACCATACCCTGTCGAGTTACAGGTGTCGAATAACATTCCAGGAACACCTCTGATACCAAAAATACATACATAGAAAATAGAAGACTTGGTATCACTTGCCTTCCATCATTTTCAGTAACTGTAGTCCTTGCTAATTTACATACTAGAACTACATTTCTACCTAATGCACGTGCAGCAGCAACAACTGCTTTTTACCTGTTTCCAGGAACGTTTAAAACATTAGAGTTTACTTTAGAATTGTATTTCCCATTAACAGTTCACATGACACACTGTCAGTTACCAAAAACCACACTAACAACAGTGAAGCCTTACTTGTTTAATACACTGGATCTGCTGGATGCCATTGCTCAGCTGTGCACAGTGCAGAAGCAGAGATGCCAGGTTTTGCTCTTCAGCCTTTGAAAACCCTATGTTTGGAGGAAGAGTCTCTTTTTAGAAAGAAATTACAATAAGCAATATAAACAATACTTTACAATACAATAATTTATAATAAGAAATCACTGCTTAATTCTTAGGTTTTTTTCCTGTTCCAGTTTCTACTGGTGCCACAATCCCTTAAGTCACCTTACAACACCTTAACATCAATTTTTTTTCTAACAAACGAAAAAAACCCACAAGTTTCACTGCAATGTAATAGTAGGCCTCATCTTCAGTACGAAGATTAGTTTCACACAATCACAGCATGGTTGAAATTGGAAGGGACCTCTGGAGGTCATCTGGTCCAAACCCACTGCTCATGTAGCAGGCTGCCCAGGACTGCGGCCAGATGGCTTCTGAATACCTCCAAGGATGGAGACTCCCCAGTTTCCCTGGGAAACCTGTGCCAGTGCTCAGTCATCCTCACATTAAAAAAAGTGGTTCCTGCTGTTCAGAGGGAACCTCTTGTGTTTCAGTTTGTGCCCATCACCTCCTGCCCCATCACTGTTCAACATGGAAAAAAGCCTGGCTCTGTCTTCTTTACGCCCTCCTTTCATGATAAGATCCCCCTGAGCCTTCTCTTCACCAGGCTGAAGAATCCCAGCTCTCTCAGCTTTTCATCATACGAGGGATGCTCCAGGCCCTTCATCATCTTAGTGGCCCTTTGCTGGACTCTCTCCAGTATGTCCATATTTCTCGTACTGGGGAGCCTGGAACTGGATGCAGCACTCCAGGTGTGGCCTCACCAGTGCTGACTAGAAGACAAGGAGCACCTCATAGTAACTTCAGTATACAAATCTTGTATTACTCATTTTTGGGTTGGTTTGTTTGGGGGTTTTTTGCGGGTGGTTTTTTGGTTGGTGTTTTTGTTTTGGTTTGGTTTTTTTTGGTTTGTTGGGTTTTTTTGGTTTTTTGTGTTTTTTTTTTTTTAAAGCAAAGATCACTGGAAGTTTATCACATTAAAACAAAAAACAACACAAAATAAAAGAGCATTTGAACAGTATCTTTAAATCAAGTTAACTACAGAAAATACAAAGACTGGGAAAATACACTCAAGATGATCTCCAAAGATCCCTTCCAAGCTCAACCATTCTGTGACTCTGAAATTCAGTGTTATTCCACATATTAAGGCTAGTACTTCAGGTAGCACTGAATTACAGGCCTGCAAGTGGGATCACAAGTAGGACCTTCTATCACCTTCACACAAATGATAAAACAAAGCAAAGAGCTTTCGAACCAAAGACACAGTGCTCTAAAGGATTCTTTTAACTCTGCCAAGGTAAGAAGTCATTGTCACTACAAAATAAAAACAAACTACAAAAAAGCAAGCACACCTAAAACCCACAAAACAAGAACACTAGAAATAAAACATAAAATAGAAATAAAACATAAGAAAAAAAACCCAGAACAATTTCAGCAGCTACTCAAACGCATTCTACTAACAGAAACAGAAATTACACATTAGTTCAGAAAAAAATTCCTACTTACTCTTAAGTTTTTCAAGCTGATGATGATCAAGAAAGAATGCATCTACCTGAATTTCCTTCTTCTTCTTTAAAACCATTTTAGCTGATTAAGAGATACCTGCTCAAAAAAAAAAAAAAGTCACATTGGTTTAAAAGCATAATTACAAACACTTCCTATGACAATGGTCTTTGCACTGTCCTGAAATAATGTTTACTGCATTATCTGTGTAATTTTTTTTTTAAGATAATAGCTCTCTTTAATTTTATCAACTTCAACTATTTCAAGCATTTTGTCCAAAATTCACCCCAACTTCATGGCACAAAATGGAAGACACAGAAAACAGGATTTCAGGGTTTGCTGGATGACCAACAAACTGTCTCACTGGAGTTTTTACTGCACTGGTTGTGTAGCCTGTGGCATGCCCCTGGATCAGAGTTTGAAGATATCATGCAGAAGCATGGGAATTACACCACAAAACTTCTGTTGCTCTGTTTTACAGTTCAAAACCCATTTAACTTGCATTAACCTAAAGTTAGAACTGTGCAGCAAAGCAGTTTTGTTTCTTTGCAACATATCAACCAGTTCTGTGTTCACTATAACAGCTGTTACAAATATCAAGCTATTTTTCTTCTTTAAGGTTATGGCAATTTAACATGCGCCGCAGTTTCACTGGCTTATGAGCTTGTTACCACAGAACAGCTGAGGCTGGGAGGGACCTCTGGAGGTCATCTGGTCCAACCCCCTGCTCAAGCAGGGCCACCTGGAGCCAGTTACCCAGGACCACGTCCAGGTGGCTTTTGAATGCTTCCAAGGAGGGAGACTCCACAGCCTCCCTAGACAACCTGTGCCAGCGCTCAGGCACCCTCACACCACACCTGATGTTGAGAGGGACCCTCCTGTGCTCCAGTCTGTGGCCGCCGCCTGTCCTGGCACCGGGCACCACAGAAAAGAGCCTGGCTCCATCTTCCTTGCACCCTCCCTCCGCAGGTTCACATACACTGCTAAGATCCCCTCATCTATTACCTAGGCCCAGCAGACAGTGATTAGAAAGCATAACTCCTTTTATTTCCTTCTAAAAACAGGCAGCCTCAGCCCCTTTCCCCCGGCAGCGGGCACCGCAGCGCGCCGGTGCCCCGGGGGGGAACAACCCCGCCCGCCAGCCCCGCCAGCCCGCCAGCGGCC